CATGTGACACACTGGTTCCCATCGGCTTATTGATTAACTGATTATGGATTGACTGAGGCTGCTGACCGTCCTGATCAGTCTTCTTACGTGTCTTCAGAGTCCACACTCACCGATGGAGACCTCCTTGATGAGCTCGGCGGCGGCGTGAGCGCCCTGGACGAGGGCTCGCGTCCACGAGGACAGGTCCCAGTGGGTCTCCACCCGGAAGATGTGGGACTCGATGCCGCGGCCGGTTCCGGTCCGAGTGGCGAACACCAGGTCAGAACCCTGAGCCGGAGAACCGCGAGCGCTGCCGGAGTGGACCAGTCTGAGGGAAGGATACCGACAGTGTTAGAACAGTAGGGCAGGCGGCACCAGGTCAGCATGAGGATGGTGTTCTACCCGGGTTCTAACGGGTCTGATGGTAATAATCCAGATGTTTTAACTGTGATGTCATAGCACCCACTCTGCTGTACAATCTGTCTGCTCAGGTTCTATGTTCTGCTCCATGTGGACCCTCTGTGTGTCCTGTGGACATTCTAGACAGTTCATTCTTTACATTTACTCTGACTGATGATGTCGACACCTTTGCACACCTCATGTGTTTGCTGCTGTATGTTTTCCACATTTCATATTACAATTAAAACTCCTCCAGCTCATTACTGCAGGATATAAAGAATTAGTAATGATAATTTAAAGATATGAACGATAACATTTCAGACTTTTTTCCTAAAAACTACAAATTACACTCAAGTTTTACCTTAAAGAGATTTCACTTTAATGTTTAAATATGCTAATTATACACCGTCTGGTTACACGTGGGCTGATTTGCATAAAAGTCCAATAAAGCAGGTGTAAGCAGCAACACAAGCAGCTAAACGTGTACTTCACATGTTTTCTGTGCGCTTGTCTGATGTGTGGTTTTGCTTTAGAGGATAAATCCAGTTCCTCTGGTCCTCCGTGCTTCACGCTAACTTCTCCTTTTGCAGAAGTTCGTGGAAAGAAGAAGTAGAGCGGACATAACGAGGTGGAAACTCTTCACCACGACTCACAGTTTGTTATTTAAATGTAATCCCATGTCACAACCACCAGGCCTCAAGTCCAACATGATGTTGTTTCGACTGCAGAAAACGAGAATAAACTTGTTTTCGCGAACTTTCGACTTTTTTATACCATAAGCTGCCGTCCTGGCACCAGACTTCCTTCTTCGGAGCTTAAAAACGAGACGAATCACAGCGTATGTGAAGTTTCTGGGGCAGTTGGAAGCTGCCCCAGAAACCCAGAGGACAGTTACAGTAATAAAGTCTTACGTAGTCCCGCGTCCTCCACGGCGCAGCTCAGAAACCCTGAAAGATTAACGAGTCACGGCGATAAAACACATCGTCAGGACTCCTCCACAGCAGCAAGAAAGGCTCAACGCCCACGAGACGTTCTGAAACAGCTGCACGGGCGAGAGGTGAAGTGCAGAGCATCCAGGAGAAGACGTCTGAAGCTCTGCAGGAGACAAACGTCTTCCTCTGCACACGTCTGTTCGTTATTTTGTTTGTTTCCTGCAGTTATTGTGTTTTAGCAGCAACAACCTCGACTTAAAACTGAACCTGATGCAGAAAAACCTTAAAAAAGACCAAAAGAATTCAGAATTTCCGTCGTGCAAAAAACCCTGGAATCGACATGTTGAACATTGGAGGAAGCTGCAGTGATTCGGTGCCGTCGGGTCGGAGCGATGACAGAACCCGACAACCAGAGGACAGGAAGAAGAAAGCAAGTGTTTCACCGCAAACAGAACGAGGAACAAATCAGAGGAGTTCAAAGTCGTAAAAAGTGTCAGAAACATGGACAGCGTGCAGGAACGTGGTGTAAACACCCAGAGCTGTGCAAAGGATCAAAACCATCACATTCATTCAGTTTAAAGCAGAGAACTGGTCTCAGCCGAGGCCGCCACACCTTCAGAGCGGTTCGTTTTCACAGAGGTTGGTGCAAACGGTTTGTTTTTAAATGTGGAACAAACTGATTTTAATCATCAGTCACAGCTTTGAGCTCAGATTTGGTTCGTTTTCTGGCACCGGGGTTGAATTTCAGAAGATTTTATGGATTCTGGCTGATTAATGACATAAAAAACAAACGTTAACTTTCAGAGTTCAGAGGGTCGAAGAGGACCAGTAATACCAGTAATACCAGTAATACCAGTAATACCAGTATAACCAGTAATAACACCTGACCAGTGAGCAGTGAGGAGGCGGAAACAGCACCAACCTCAATCATCTAATTAAGTAATTAACCTGAGCTGATTCATTTAGTTCACATTATTTCCTGCCAGAACCTCGCCCTGCAGCCGTCTTTTCAGAGCTCCAGACTCTACCGGACCTGCAGCGGGCTTTCTACCTGGTGGCGAGCAGCGGGTGGGTCAGCAGAGGGACCGACCAGGACTCCCGGCTCCACGGCACCGACTCAAACAGCAGGATGTCCTTCTCCGTCAGCGCCATGACCACCGGCCGGTACTGCTGCCGGCCGCCCTCCAGCTGGACCTGAGGAGGAGAGTCGGCAGGCGTCAGGCGAGGGCGGTAAACAGGATGACACCAGAACCCCACAGAACTTATGATAAAGGTCCGATGTGTAGGAAGTGTGTGGTGCCGGTGATGGTGATGTAGCACCGCGGGATCAAAGTCATGGTTCAGCGTCACAGAGCTCTGCAGCATCAAGAACAACAAACACAGAACAGGTTTCGTTCATAGACACCAGAAACCGATTCTGGTCTGTTCTGCTGGAGCTTCTCTCAGAGCGACTCCGACCAGAACCAGCAGAGTGACGACACAAAGCTGCTCGGTGTCGGCACAACGTCTACGATCTGCCACGATCACAGGGCTGGAGGTGACAGATAACAGCTCAGATGTTTTCTACTTTCAGATTGGTGGCATTAGCTTTTAGCTTTTAGCTTTAACGTGTGAAGAAAGTCGATATGAGCTTAGAAACTCACACGATCACACAGTTCTGGTTGAAAACCCGTCATAGGTCATAAATAAAAACATTAGACAAATAAAAGTTTGATGATTTTTGATTGGGTTTGTGTCCGACCAACAGTTTGAGGAGCTCCAGAGAGACGACGAGTGAATGAATGAACTCCAGGATGCAGTCGGTGTCGACACCTTAAAGGTTATCAGCTGTGGTGAAGTTGAGCAGCTCGCTCTGACTGTCTGACCTGATTCAGGCTGAAAACAGCCGACGTGTGTTCGTCTGAGTCACGACTGTCTGTGGTGAGGAGGTGGGCTCGGCCGGAAACATCACACCTCCGTCTGTGCTTCCTGCCGAGCCGGTCAAGACCAGCAGCCTGCCGTCTAGAGACTCACCACGACTTAATCATGAGTCTCAATCTGTGGATGAACTCAGATTAGTGCTGGTGTCGGTGGGCCGGTTCACACCTCAACATCAGAACACTTCCTGAGCTGCCAGCTCGTGGTGTCTGAGGTCGAGCTTTATGTGAAGTGACGTACGAGTAACAAACGCTACACAGAAAAGCCACCACGCCGTTTCCTCCTGTTGCTTCCACTGCAGACTCATCAGACGTGAACATGTTTTTGTTTTGCTTTGTGCAAACTGGGCACCAAAACTCCAACAACCGAGATCACATTGAGGAAATTTATCTTTTACATTTCATCGTCAGAATTCTTTAAGAAAAGCTTTCATGTGGGCCGCCGCTACAGCTCACCTAGCTGAGCAGGCGGCCCAAGAACAGGCCTATAGTTAGCTACAGCTAGCTGTAGTTAGCTACAGTTAGCTACACGTAACTGTAGTGAGTTGTAGTTAGCTACAGGCAGCTGTAGTTATAGTTAGCTACAGTTAGCTACAATTAGCTGTAGTTAGCTATAGCTAGCTATAGTTAGCTGTAGTAGTTGGCTGTATTTAGCTACAGGTAGCTGTAGCTATAGTTAGCTACAATTAGCTGTAGTTAGCTATAG